CAGTCAACAACTCACTGATTCAAATGATCCAGTCAGAGCGAGTCTGCAGTCAACAACTCACTGATTCAAATAATCCAGTCAGAGCGAGTCTGCAGTAAACAACTCACTGATTCAAATGATCCAGTCAGAGCGAGTCTGCAGTAAACAACTCACTGATTCAAAGTATCCAGTCAGAGCGAGTCTGCAGTTAAAAATTCAGTGAATTCACAAGTTGGATTCAAAATGAGCCGAGAATGGCAGATCCTCAAAGCTTGAGTGCGTGTCTCATTGCGCAAAAATAAAGTTACTAATGTCAAATTTTAGTATTTATTATTGTAAATGAAAATCATATTTAGGTCACGACTGTCAGTTGTTTGTTAACTAAATGTCCAATAAAAGCGCAAGCTGTTTAACTCCACTCTTTGAAGGAGCGGACTCCTGACGGAGGAGAAAATTACGATAAAACACAATTAGGCTGGTTTTGTTTCGCAGACCTGGCAACCCTGCATGAAGTATATGTTAAAATTACAAAATAGTCATTCATTGATTCGTACATTTTACTTTTAATACTTAAAGTACACTAGAAGTCAAATACTTTCGTACTTTTACTCTAGTAAAATTGAAAAAGAGTACTTAATACGTTTACTAGAGTAATGTTTTTTTTTAGGATATTTATACTTTTACTCAGGAACTGTATATATATTGATGGATTGTGCTCTTAGGGTCGCCATCCATCTGCCTTGTGTCGCTCTTACGGATGCAGCAGCGACCCACAGCGATACAGGAATTATTACAGACCGTACACTGGCCAGGTAAGAAAATCATATGGGTGCCAGTCTGTGGACGTTTGAAAAATAGAATTGAAAAAAATGCATATACTTAATAGATCTTTGTTTTTCTTGCAGTGGAGCTCGTCTGAGCAAAACCAGAGTCGTTATGGCAGTGTGTATTATGGCTGTTCGAGTTAGAATCGTTCTGATAATCCCAGAACTGATAAACACCCCAATCAGTGCGTGTTTCACCTTTACAAAAATAATTGGTTCTGTCTGTGTAATTTCATTAGCAAAGGTCATTGCTTATAATGAGGAGCCAGCTTGAGTACCAGAAGGCAGTTTGTTTTTAACAGGTAGCTAAACCCAAAAACTCCACATTCTGTCATCATGGCTTTTTTCTGTGGAACACAAAAGCAGTTGTTCAGAATGTCAGCGCTGCTCATACATAGACGGTTATGTTTATATTCATCTGTTACAATTATCAAGGACTGTTAAAATGTATCTTTAGGGATGTTCTTCTGAATTTGATACAGTTTTACTCCGCTTTCTAATTAACAGTGTACTGTAAAGACACTTCTCTACTTATTTGCACTACAGACATTCAAGAACATTTTGTAAATGTGTGTAAATCTTTCTACAGATCTTCTCCTTGCCATTGTCACATTTAGCTCTTTGTGGCTTGTAGGGTTACAAAAATAATTGGTTCTGTCTGTGTAATTTCATTAGCAAAGGTCATTGCTTATAATGAGGAGCCAGCTTGAGTACCAGAAGGCAGTTTGTTTTTAACAGGTAGCTAAACCCAAAAACTCCACATTCTGTCATCATGGCTTTTTTCTGTGGAACACAAAAGCAGTTGTTCAGAATGTCAGCGCTGCTCATACATAGACGGTTATGTTTATATTCATCTGTTACAATTATCAAGGACTGTTAAAATGTATCTTTAGGGATGTTCTTCTGAATTTGATACAGTTTTACTAAACACTGAATCGTGATTGATTTCATCGACAGCCATAGATTTTACCATTAACAGTGTACTGTAAAGACACTTCTCTACTTATTTGCACTACAGACATTCAAGAACATTTTGTAAATGTGTGTAAATCTTTCTACAGATCTTCTCCTTGCCATTGTCACATTTAGCTCTTTGTGGCTTGTAGGGGAATATTCTCTGTAAAACTGTTTTAGACAAATATTTATTGTGGAAACTCCACAAATACATTTGAATTGAAAATGTTTCTGATCAGGTTAATACATTTAACGTCAATAGTGGGACTACAAAGTGAATATTTTCCAGGTAATATTTTATTAACTTGTTCGGGCTTGATAAATGTTCACTTGAGCTTCTTTGAAAAGACTTTCACTGAGAATCCCAAACTGACACTTGCACCAAATTAAAAGGTCTCAAGTCATTTATTTTTAATCCTTTATTAATTTTGTATAAAAAAGATGTTTCTTTAAATTCTGTCACCAAGAATAAATTTCAAATTAAAGTCTGTCACAAATAATAGATTTCCATAGAAAACGATGCAAAATACACTTTACATGTATACAATACAAGAACTTCTGTATATATATATTATGAAAATTATTCAAATCAATTCAGAACAAAATAAGCTGTTAGCCCTCATAGATCATAAAATAGATTAAAAGAATAGTTAACCAAAAATTAAAATGTGCTCACCCTCAGGCCATCCAAGATTAGGATGAGTTTGTTTCTTCATCAGATTTGAATGTAGCACTGCATCAGTGTCTGCGCAATGGATGCTCTGCAGTGAATGGGTGCCGTCAGAATGAGAGCTGATAAAAACATCACAATAATCCACACCACTCCAGTCCATCAGTTAACATCTTGTGAAAAGATGCATGTTTGTAAGAAACAAATCCATCTTTTAAGACATTATTAACTAAAATATGGCTCCATAATCCATCATAAGACTTCCTCCAGTGGAAAAAAAAAAAGTCTGGTCTGAATCAGGAGAGAAATCTGCACAGTCCAAAACAAATATGTGTGTGGATTTTGATGTGAGAGACAACAGGAGATAGCCTTTTTTTTCACCGGAGGAAGCATTATTATGAATAATAGACTCATATTTTAGTGCCTTAATGATGGATCTGTTTCTTACAAACGCGCAGCTTTTGTCTCAAGACGTTAACTGATGAATTGGAGTGGTGTGGATTATTGTGATGTTTTTATCAGCTCTCATTCTGACGGCACCCATTCACTGCAGAGCATCCATTGCTGAGACACTGATGCAAAGCTACATTTCTCCAAATCTGATGAAGAAACTCATCTATATCTTGGATGATCGGAGGGTAAGCACATTGTCAGCAAATGTTCATATGTGGGTGAACTGTTTCTTTAAATGGTGTAATTACTCGTGTTTATATGATCTGCTTGTGCAACTATTCAGAGGCGGTTGAGTATCTGATTAAATTCAGCAATCAGGCATCACCCTCTGATACAGCAGTACTGCACCCTTCGCTGAAGGACACATCTCTGACCACAGGGGGGCGCGCTCGTTTAATTGGAACATTTTCTGTAGAACAGAGTTAAGAAAATGACATAGAAATGCGATAAAGAATGTCTTTTGAAATTCCTGTTTATGTATTTGTACTCTGTTTTTGACGATTTGTAACAATTGTATCCTATAAGCATTTTGCATATGTAAAGAGGATGTGAATATGAAAAAAAAAAAACAGCAATAAGCTAAACAATTTATTAAAGCAATAAGCCCCGTGAAGCCGTGGTTTACAGTGAATTTATAACAGCTAAGGTACGCCATCACGTGGATGTGGAAGATTCACAAATCATATGAATGATGTTTACCGGACATAAAACTCTGCACTGGGTCGTCCTGCACTAGTGTGGTTCAGCGCAATTCCCATAAACACCGGTTTGCTCAGAGAACTGACGGGAACGTTCACCTGTGATGAGTAAGAATGACAACAAAAAAAGACAGAGATGATGAGAACACAAAGCAGCATTCATTTCAACAATTTCCCAGTACGGGTTTGAAGCATCGTCTATCGAATGTAAATCCACAGATACACACCTCATCACTGATCTCTGCACACACCGAGGAGAAGATCTCGGAAACAACGGCTCTCTCTTTACCCTGCAGGAGATCAGCACATATGGCCTCCTCACCGACCCCTGGACACAACATCTACACACACACACAGATACTACTGCATTTCATTTGGAATAAAGATGTTTAAATGTGTTTGAAATAAGTCTCTTCTCCTCACCAAGGCTGCATTTGATCAAAAATTGTGAAATATTATTACAATTTAGCTTCGAACGTGGCTCAACCAATCAGAATCAAGGACCGGAACTCTCCGTTTTATAAATAAACGCTTACCGCTCGACTCAGAAACAGTATTTCAGTGGACTCATGTGCCTCTGGACCTCCATGTCTGTAGAAATCTCTCACATCCTCCGTTGTCAAGGTGCATCTTCACAGAGTAAATAACACATAAATGACTGGTTCTTTAAGCTAACAGCTCATCACGTGGATGTGGAAGATTCACAAATCATATGAATGATGTTTACCGGACATAAAACTCTGCACTGGGTCGTCCTGCACTAGTGTGGTTCAGCGCAATTCCCATAAACACCGGTTTGCTCAGAGAACTGACGGGAACGTTCACCTGTAATAAAAGAAAAATGCTCAAGAATCATTTCTGATTATTATCAATGTTGAAAACAGTCGTGTTGCCCAATATTTGTGTGGAAAAAAACTTTGATAATTGTTTGATGAATAGAAAAAACAGCATTTTCAGCATCATTACTCCAGTCTTCAGTGCCACATGATCTTCAGAAATTATTATAATATGCTGATTTGCTGCTCAAGAATCATTTCTGATTATTATCAATGCTGAAAACAGTCGTGTTGCCCAATATTTGTGTGGAAAAAAACTTTGATGATTGTTTGATGAATAGAAAAAACAGCATTTATTTGAATTAGAAATTTTTTTTTTTTTACAAGATTGACTTTTGATCAATTTAATGCAACAGATGGATTCTAAAACAGTCCACAATAACAATTCGCAGTCTTAAGTTCGAAGTCATGCAGAACCATTCACTTAAAAAGCACGCAGTGAGGTGTGAAATTGAGCTTTTCGAAACTGAATCAGTTAAACTATTGTGTCGCAAAATGATTCAATGATTCGAAGCGCTCCAATCGGATCGCGTATCGCGAGTCATTTGATTCAGGACGGGACTGCAAGTCGCGTAATAATTATAATAGTATGTTTTATTTTTATAGAGCCTTTCAAGAACCCAAGGACGCTTTACAAAATAATACAAGCAATTGGCAAACAAAATACACCATAATAATAATAATCGGCAGGGATCCCAGACCAATACAATTAGAGTGCCTCCTCTATTTTAAAACCCACGAGCCGCCACTGCACCAGACAGTCAAGAGCCCAAGGACGTTTCACAAAATAATACAAGCAATTGGCAATAAATCAAAAAATACACCAGACAATCAGAGGGGACATTCAGACAAACAGGTATTGACAACAAAGAACTACAGTTAAACCACAAGAGGTATTGCGAATCATTTGATTTAGATTGGAACTTCGGAGCGGGTTCGCGAATCATTTCACGAATTGAATGATTCGCGATCCTCGCTACGAGTCCTGATCTGAAATGTTGGTTCGCAAATCATTATTCAAATCGGGACTTGGAGGGGGTTCGGAAATCTCTTGATTTAGATCGGAACTTCGCATATCGCGAAACATTTGATTTAGACTTCGGAGTGCGGTTTGCAAATCATTTGATTCGGTTCAGGGCTTCAGAGCGGGTTTGCGAATCTTTTTTTTCTTTTTCTTCCTTACCAAAAAAAATTAAATGCTCATGCAACATGTGTGTAGCATCTTTGTTTGAATCGTGATTAAAATGCAGTGGCTGCCTCTAATTTCAAATGGCTACAGATATTTTGATTTAAAGCCAGTTTGCCTGTTATAGAGCAAATACATTTGCTTAAAGGGGTCATATGATGCTGCTAAAAAGAACATTATTTTGTGTATTTGGTGTAATGAAATGTGTTTATGCGGTTTAAAGTTAAAAAAAAACATTATTTTCCACATACTGTACATTATTGTTTCTCCTCTATGCCCCGCCTTTTTGAAACGCGTCGATTTTTACAAAACTAATCGGTCATGACGAAGTGGATATCGTCCTCTTTTGGAAGACCAAGCAAAGTAGTTTCGCTTTCACAACGAAACACACAGCGCCTTCACGACATGGCGGCGGCAACAACAATACTACAACGTGAATAAAAGTTACGCCTTCTTTCTTTGCTTGAACATTTGGGCGGTGTTATGCAAATCTTCCCACATAGTGTGGTAGATATGTGGGGGCGTGTTCGAACGAGCCGTTTTAGGTAGGTGTGGCTAACTCTTAACTTTTATAAAGAATATCTCTTTGGATTTGAGACTTTAGTCTTTGCAACTTTACAGATCTTCTTTATGCACCAAGAGCTTGTAACACTCCAAAGAGAAAGGAAAAAATGAAATCGCATCATATGACCCCTTTAAAGAAAAAAATTTGGCAACTGGTATTGGAATCAGGCAATTTACGGAATCAGCCATGAAATGTCATTATCAGTGGATCACTAATTCAAATAAAAAAGTAATTTTATATTGTGACAGTATTTCATAATACCATTTGCCCGAGTCTGCGCAGTAGAGATTCGTTTGGAGCCCGAGTCTGCGCAGTAGAGATTCGTTCGGAGCCAGAGTCTGCGCAGTAGAGATTCGTTCGGAGCCCGAGTCTGCGCAGTAGAGATTCGTTCGGAGCACGAGTCTGCGCAGAAGAGATTCGTTTGGAGCCCGAGTCTGCGCAGTAGAGATTCGTTCGGAGCCCGAGTCTGCGCAGAAGAGATTAGTTCGGAGCACGAGTCTGCGCAGAAGAGATTAGTTCGGAGCACGAGTCTGCGCAGTAGAGACTCGTTCGGAGCAAAATCAAACTTATCACAAAAACGAACAATTGAACATATATCAGCGTGATAACAACTACCTTAAATGACCAAAACCATCTTTCGGAAAATTGTATTGGAAGTGCAATTTATTTTTTTATTTTGACTCAAGTCCCATTCGTTTACATGGAGAGGGCGGGGTTTATGGCCTGTACTGCAGCCAGCCACCAGGGGGCGATCATAGAGCCTGCAGCTTCACTTTTCAGGACGTGGCCTGAATGATAAATGTGGCCTTGGTGAGCAGAAGAGTACATTTACGAAAGGAAACATGATGATGGCAGTAATGAGTAGCTCTCAGTGTATCTGACCTTTGGCTCAGGATGACCTCCAGGTATGTCTAAAAGGCCTGCAGCCTCTGCCACTTTCTGGCTTCTCCTCAGCAGGACGACGTCTCCGTCTGCCGTGGCCATGACAGCACCGACCCCCAGCGGCTGAGCGAGGAAGGCCTGCGGATCTGCACATTCGTTCTGTCCGTGACTCTGCAGCCTCCCCGCCTCTCGTGACCAGTTAGTCCCGAGATAGTCTTTATAACAGGTCAGGCCTAACTGTAATGTGAGCACACACGACTGCTCATCTTTGGATGATTTATCAGCACTTTCTAATTGGTCTCCTTCACCACGTTGTGAGCGTGTAAGGTTTTGGGCGGCCTGTTCTGCCACGGGTCCTTTTTCCATGACGGACAGCACCGCTGAATGCAATCTGAATTTAGCTCCATTGAAGAGCCACGGTTCTTTGGCCACTCGGTCACTCCATACAGCTTCAATGTGCTGCTCGATTTCAGGAAAACTCTGCCGATTGAACCTAGAGTGGGATTGCAGCAAGTCAAAGATTTTGACATTTTTTTGTAGCATCAAAAATGTATATGTATAGAGTAGTGCTTTCAAACGATTAATATATACACATATATATATATACATATACACATATATATATATATACATATACACATATATATATACATACATATACACATATATATATACATATACACATATATATATATACATATACACATATATATATATATACATATACACATATACATATAAATATATATATATACATAATAAATATACACAGTACACACACATATTATGTAAACCAAAACTTTTATTTTGGATGCGATTAATCGTGATTAATCCAGGGCTGTCAAACTATTAATCGTGATTAATCGCATCCAAAATAAAAGTTAGTGTTTACATAATATATGTATGCGTACTGTGCATATTTAGTATGAATATAGAAATACACACTCATGCATGTATATATTTAAGAAAAATATGTAATTTTTATATATAAAATATTCATATTTATATATGATCTAAATGACAATAAATATACAAATTAGTGCTGTCAAACGATTAATCGCGATTAATCGCATCCAAAATAAAAGTTTTTGTTAACATACTATGTGTGTGTACTGTGTATATTTACATATTTATATATAAATACAAAAACATACATGTATACATTTAAGAAAAATATGTTATGTTTATATATTATATATTTATATATAATATCAAATATAATAATATAAATATATAAATGTATATACATGTAAATATTTTCAAAATATATACTGTGTGTGTATTTATATATACATAATAAACAGTACACATACATATATAAACAAAAACTTATTTTGGATGCGATTAATCGTTTGACAGCACTAATAAAAATATATATAAATAGTTTTAAAATATATACATGTATGCGTGTGTATTTATATATAAATAATAAATACACACAGTACACACACAAATATAATGTAAACACAAACTTTTATTTTGGATGATTAATCGCGATTAATCGTTTGACAGCACTAGCTGGTCACCATTTATTCATTCCAATCCTATTTTGTGACAGTTTAATATTTAAAAGTACAAATATTTTTTACGAATATGACATAATAAAATAATTTAGAAAACACATTTGTGATGGATATTTATATTGTACCTGTCTGAAATTTCTACGTGAATTTGATGTTCTCCAAGAGCCTGTAATGGATCACAGAGCAGCATAAAAGACACCTCTGGATCCATGACAAAACCCTTTCAAACTTCTCCGAAGTGGACTTTCAGCATGGGTGTCTTCTCAATGCCTGCCTAGATATGATTTTTGAACAGTGTACATCTAGACAGAAAGTTTGTTTTGAGACAGAGTTAATCAGTTGTGAAATGACCTGTTATAAAAACCGTTAAATTAGCCTTACAAGCGGTCAAAAAAAGAGCGAACCAAGTTAACAGAAAGATGCCGTTTAATTTCTAAGAAACGCTACATTTAAATGCACTTTTGAGACTGCTACTTAATTATTCTGTTGTTTACAAAATGCAGCTACTAAGCAAAACTTACTTCCTTACCTAAACCGAATACAGTCGGGACTCTTAACTCAAAAACTTCCGGAAGCGCTGTGCTTCAAAATAAAAGTCTGCAACCAGAGCGTCTGCTGAACACGACAGAGATAAAATAGAAGTAACAAGTAAACATACTGCAATGCGTTTAAATAAAGCACATGATACACGCTATATTTTCTTCATCTCTTTAAAATATAATCTGTATTTTTAGAGAAGCTTACCTTAGAGTGCAGAATATTTAAAGTTGTCCAAGTAAAGTGGCTCAATTATTATATCTTGTGTTGTACATATAATTTATTATTTTGTCTTGGCAGGAGAAAGGCAGCTTGGCCTAATGGGTTTGAAGAGATTATTTAAACAGAATAGTATTTGCATACTTTTCTACACATCTACACCACACTTTTATCCCAAGTGAGGAGTGAAATGCCTGTTTAGCCGACTTTAAAATGACATTTTATCAAAAACTTTACCATTTGTTTCCAGTGCTCCATCAATATTTAATAAACAAAATCAATTCTTAATTCATCATACACTTTGAAAGCAGAGAATAATATATTTGTTAATCTTTAGTCCTGTTAAAGTTTACTATAAAGAAATGTTCTTAAGGCTCTCTTAGACTTCAAACCTTTTCTCTAAACTACAAAATTACAATGACATGCCAACAATGTTTGATTTAAAAAAAAAAAAAAACGTTTGTTTGCTGAATTTGTTTTTATTTTACATTTTCATTTGGGATTTTTTTTTCTTTTGTGAAACCAAAGCCAGCCTGACTAAATTTACACAGACATAAATTATATAAATAGTCATGTGACACACATTCTCATCTATTACGTTCTTAATACACACAATATCAAGTTGCCCACAATTAAGGCAACTTATTTTCTGGACATCAAGAAGAGAGAGGCTGCCCATGAGACAACCGTCAGCAATTCCCTGGTTTTAAAATACAATGTAAAAGTGTTCTGATAACACAATAGAAGTACACTTTTTTTATATATTCTGTCCAGAACTAGAAGATTTAAAATTCTGTCATTTATGTTTAAGGAATAGAAAGTGCGAGACAAGACCACCAACTGAAAGAACCGAACTTAAAATAACACAACTGCTCATTAAATAAGAAAGATATCCTTTAAGCCAATTAAATACCCGCATATATAACTATTATACAGAAAAAAAATGTGTCTAAGAAAACACCAAAATAATTAAATTGCATAATTGGTTTGAATATTCTAAGCATTAATGAATCAGATAAAAAGGTAATGTTAAACAAAACATTGCCGCAAATTATCCAATTCATGTGGTCATTAATCATCTTCATTATAAGAATGGCCAGTGCAAAAAAAACAAAAACAAAAAAAAACAGGTCAGTGTTTTACAAAGCAATGCATCACAAAAAAAACGGAATCTTATCGACAGGTGCATCTGATAGCAATCATCTCCTCGTACTCCTTGTAAGCAATGGAGCCGTCGTTCTCAATGGTCAAAACACTTAACGGATTATATTCTGAAGGCACACATGAAGGTCTAGGCACAGAAGAGTCTAGCTTCTCGTAAATGATGTTCTGAACCATCGTGTGCACCGGAGACCCATAAATATATCCCACAGCCCTCGGACAAGATCCCTTACAGTACCTCGGGTTGTATTTGTGAGGCGCTATGATCCAATGGTCCAGTTTGAGCTGACTGAAGCTCACTTTGAAATCATACAAGTCACAGTCGTCTGTGGGGAAGTCGTACATGGGGACGAGTTTGGGCGCGCTGGTTTCCGGCAAACTGGTGCTCTTTAGAGTGCCTCGTCTCTTTCGTGAACTCGAATCCCACCATGTGGACTTTCCATCCCAGTGGTTTGATGTCAGGTCTACAATCCTACCTCGTGAGGCTCTTCTCTGGTACGCAACCTCGCTGGTGTCATTAAGGTACAGGAGAAGAGACGGAGATCTGTGAGTTAACTCCACTGGGCTCTTGTGAACCTGGCCTCCGGGTCTGGGGATCATGTCTTCAACGCAGGTCAGGTTGATCAGCAGATGGATGTCTTTCTTATGGGCTTGAATGAGAGGATGGAGGAAGGAGGTCACGTCGACCTCCACCCAGCGGCGGCGGACCCTTCTCTCGGTGTGGACGCGGAAGCTGAGAAGCGGGACCGACTGCTGCGTGCCGAAGTGCGGAGAACACATCTGGTCCTTCGAGGGCTTCTGTTCTTTCACGTCGAGATAGCAGAGCGACGTGAAGGGGGCGATGTGGTTGTGGTCGAAAGAGTAAAGCAGGACCGACTTCAGCAGCTGCTCCTGAGACCTCACTCGAGTCAGACTGTAGGAAATATCCTGCATGAAGAACTCTGCCAAGATAACACATAGCACCATTGAGGAACACATCCTTAGCTTGACCTCAGTTATATACGGTGTTTATTTAGTGCTTGAGAGTGACTTGTGATTGTTTGACTGCAGTTTGTTTGGAATGAAATTCCGTCATTTTTGTGTCAACTCAACCAGGGGCCTGTTCCATAAAACAAGTTTGCCAAATAAGCCAGGCTTATTTCGGTTAGTCTGACTTATTTTGAACAACTTAGCCACCGTGTTAAGACTGTGTCTTAAGAGCTAGCAGCTGCCAAAAAAAAATAAAATTCAGATGACTAACTGTTTAAGACTAGTCTAAACAGTTTATGCAACCGGCCCTGATGAATCAACTGACAATAAGTCAGACTAACTGAAGTAAACCTGGCTTAAACTTGTTTTATGAAACAGACCCCTGAGATGCCCGGCTCAAATTTTAGATTTTGTTAAACATTTATGTAAACTTACTTCTTCTGATTAAATAAATACATAATTGAAGAGGAAAGCCAAAATATTAAGCGTCATGGATGTATATTTACTGAGTAATCCACTGTTTTGCAGAGAAGAGTCAAAATGGCAATTTTCACCTGAGATTTGAAGCCAAATTACAGGATGGGAAAAATGACTTCAGAAAGATGGCAGCATCATTATTTTAATTTTACACAGAGATTGGTAGGTCTATAAGTAAAATCTGTTGACTTTTGCAATCTTTGTTGCATTATATGCCAATGGTGATCAATCAAAAATGGGGAAAAACACTTTTCATTCATTCTCCAAAGTTTACACGCCTGTAACTCAAGAAATATTAAAGATATATCAATATAATTTTAAATTATGGTTCTTAATAAATTTATCTTCATTTTTAATGAAAATCATTTTTAAGACCCTGTATCGTTCAGTAGATATTTCAGAGGGATTTCAATGCGGCTCCAGGTCCAGATTGTTGAATAATACCCATTTTCAGTAGATGTAGGTTGTTTCTCTCGATCAAAACAATTGTACAGAACATACCTGTCTGAGTGTTAAAAATGCACTGAAAAGATCAAGGCACATTAACTTGCTCTCAGTAGTCCATTGATAAGATTCTGCACATTATTTCCATTTTTGAACTGTCACCATTGGCTTATAATGCAACAAAGATTGCTAAAGTCAACAGATTTTACTAATAGACCAATCTCTGTGTAAAAATAACATTATGATGCTGCCATCTTTCTGAAGTCATTGTACCAGATGTAATCTGGCTCTGAATCTCAACTGAAAACAATCACAGGAAACTTTCAAGACAAAAAGACATTTAAATTTTTTTTAAATGTGTATAATTGAATAGCCGCTGAAGAATGACTCTACCCACAATCCTTAAAAGTTAGTTCACTCAAAAATGAAGGTGAGTAATGGTGACAATGTTCATGTTGATCCAAACCCACAAGACTTTCACTCATTCGCAATTTATTAATGAAGAGATTTTTATTGAAACCTCTGTCCAACAAAGCTCATAAAGAGATCATAAAAGAAATGACTTTAAGTCTTCTGAAGAGAAAAAAACTCTTTTGGGTTTGGAATGACATGAGTTTGAGTAAATTATGACCATTTTTGGGTGAACTATCCCCTTGAGTCCACCAATCAGGGAAAGCGTTGTGACCATAGAAAGAGGTATATGATTTAATCAGTCTCCCTACAAAATGCATAACTGTATATATATTTGAGTATTTTGCAATACATGTAAAATATTTTGCACTTACATTATGTAGTTTAAAGGCACAATATGTAATTTTCGCCGCTAGAGGGCGCGTATTCAAAATAAACAAAGAATCAAAGGCGTAGTTTGATGATGGCGTGACTGAGTGTGGAATCATGGGAGTTGTGGTCTTCATCTACACAGCCGAGGCAATCCGACGGGACTCGGGCAGAAATCATGTTCATGGATGAGCTAATGATTTATTAACGTAGTAGAATGAAGCAGGGTGAGGCTGAAAGCCGTCGAAGTGAAACGAGGCGCTGAACGAGCGTGACACACGGCTGGAAAGCAGCGGAGCTTTTATTATGCCACAGTCGACCGCTTCCGCTGCTTCCGGTCGTGCGTATGTGGGGTAAAGCAGCGCTGTTTTATCATACGAGATACATTTAGTTCTGTTATAATGCTACTCTGTGCGGTCGTCACCGGTCTATTAAACCCACATATGAAATACTTTATACATTAACCCACATACTAAAACATATTAAAGCGTCTTTGATGTTTCCATGTTTTCTACAAAACCAAAACGTTGAAACTTTGTTTCAAAAAACAAAACCGGAAATCGAGGGGTTATGACGTCATTGGCAGGTGACACAATGACACTATGGACACTGTGCGTGTCACTAGTTAAAATTGCTTATTTCTCTGGATTTAAACATTCTTCGAAACATTTGGGATAATGTAAGTACACAAGTCAGCAAAACATATAACACTGTTCTAGTGGTTTTACATATTACA